TAAGCTCCTTGAAGGCAAGGCAGCAAGACCTATGGTTCAGCAAGGGTTAAAGCCTTGCACATAACTGAAATGATTATTTGGTGTTCAATTGCATAATTTCCACTTTATCTCCCAGTGGCCTAGAGGGAGGACACTAGGCCCCAATGGTGTGCTGGAAGCAGCCTGTACCTGCCCTGGAGAGTTGATCTTATGTTTTTAGGAATTTTGAGAATTGGTGGTTAGATACAGTCATTATTTAAAGTTAAATTATACAAACTTACAATTAAATAAGATATATAGACATACATATAGATATATATTTTTTTGAGTTGGAGTCTCACTCTGTTGCCCAGGCTGAAGTGCAGTCGCACACTCCTGGCCACTGCAGCCTCCACCCACTGGGCCCAGGTGATCCTTCTGCCTCAGCCTTCCAAGTAGCTGGAACTACAGGCATGTGCCATCATGCCCGGCTAATTTTTTGATTTATTGTAGAGACGAGGTCTTGCCAAATTGCCCAGGCTGGTCTGTGATCCTTCAGCTCAGGCGATCTTCTCGTCTCTGTCTCCCAAAGTGCTGGGATTACAGACGTGAGCCATCAAACCTGGCTAAATAAGTTATATTAAAAACAAAGATAACAAGGCTGGGTGCGGTGGCTCACGCCTGTAATCCCAGCACTTCGGGAGGCTGAGGTAGAGGATGGCTTGAGCCCAGGGACTCAAGTCCAGCCTGGGCAACACAGTGAGACCTTGTCTCTACAAAAGAATCAAAAAACGAGGCAGGCATGGTGTTGTGTTGCCTGTAGTCACAGCTACTGGGAGGATGAGGCAGGAGGACCACCTAAGTCCAGGAAGCAAAGGCTGCAGTGAGTTGTAATCATGCCACTGCACACTATCCTGGATGATTGAGTGAGACTCCAACTCTAAAATAAAATAAAAATAAATAAATACAAAGATAACAGCCTGGCACGGTGCTCATACCTATAATCCCAGCATTTTGGGAGGCTGAGGCAAGAAAATTGCCTGAGTCCAGGAGTTTGAGACCAGCCTGGACAACATGCGAGACCTCATCTCTATAATAAATCCAAAAAACTGGCTGGGGTTGTGGCATGTGAGGTGGAGGGATCGCCTAAGCCCAGCATGTCAAGGCTGTGATGGCCATGATTGTGCCACCGTGCTCCAGCCTAGGCAACAGAGTGATACTCTGACAAAAAAAAAAAAAAAAAGATAACAAATACTCAAAATTCATCACTTCCTAATTATTTTACTACATTTGACTATAACTTATACTCTTGAGATTTACATCCATTATATCTATGTGATAAAAATACTCTGTAATGATATGCTACATTTCTTCCCAAGACCGTAATGGTAGTTTGAAATCAGTCATGGTGGAATTATTTACATCTTAAAAGTCAGCAAACACCACCAGTCAGGTTCCTGCCACGCCAAAGCCAGTTGTTAATCATTCCCCAGCATGTCACTGCTTCGGGAACACTATTTGGTCTGTCTTGTCACAGGCTCATCTGTCTCTACTGTCATCTTCTGCTCTGGTCTTCATCTCCAGATTTCTACTCCTGGAAGAGAGAAACCAAGAGTTGGATCGTGACTTAAAAACAAATGAGGGAAGCCGGGCTTGGTGGCTCAGCCTGTAATCCCGCGCCTTTGGGAGGCTGAGGTGAGTGGATTGCCTGAGCCCGCGGGTTCAAGACCCACCTGGGCCGCGAGACCTCATCTCTACACTAAATCAAAAAATCA